CCCCCCCCCCCCCCCGGCTCCGGCTGGCCGGCCCCCCCCCGCGGGGGGTGGGGGCGGCCGGAGGCTTTTTTGCCTAGGGCGGCAAAAAAGCCAGAGCCGGCCCTGGTTGTTTGGGTAATTTGTTGGTCTCTCACTTTACAGACTGCACCTGGGGTCCACAGAAGATTGTTCCGGAAAGTACACAACCTAATTACAGCATTCCAGAAGCCAGAACAAGGCATTATAACGCCTCTGCAGCATCCTGTAGTGAATGCTGCGAAAGCCAAGCACCCACAAGGTACTGCGAGGAGCACTTGGGAGCAGAATGGCATGGGCCTGTGGAGTTTGCCATCACATGTGCTAAGGGGCAAGATCCATTCTCTGGCCGTCCCCAACCCATGAGACATGCATGATATAAAAGGCTGTGGAACTAGTTCAGTGCCACTAAGCAGCAAGGGACAGGTAGTCTGTGCCACATGCACACTGCAGAGCTACAGCCATGATAGCAGAAAAGGGTCTGGCAAGGGTGAGGCTCTATTGACCTGCTTCCCTTGAAAGATTGTGAGGAGTTGAAGCAACAGCTGCACAATGGCTGTGCTGGTATGCTCCAGCTTGGAGGGGAGCTTCTGTTCCCTCCATCCTGAACACCCCAGGCCTTTGGGCAGAGAGAATGCAGGCTTGTTTGCTTCTATTAACCCATGGCAGTCACTACACCAGCATGTGTACACCTCCTAAAGTCTGAAAAATTGGCATCTTCCTAGCACCTAGTCTAGATTGTGGGGTTTGGATGGATGCCTTGTGGTGCTTGCTAGGGAATTTATGTCCAACTGCAGCGTTGTATGTGAATATATTTCTTACACAGCATGCCGGTTGCATCAGTGATAGACAAGCTGTAGTTAACCCCTGTGCCTCCTAGTAAATACAAAGACTATGAGCTTTTGCCTTCTTGCAGAGTTCATATTTTTATATGTTTGTTGTTGTTTTTTTTGTAGGAAAAAAGGAAGATCATGACTTTTATTTGCATCCTTCATGAAGACACGTCCCAGCGTTTGAAGTAATTTAAATAGGCTTTTATATGTCATTTTTACACAAAATGCTGTAGATTATAGACATTACAACTCTATGAGTTTTCCTGTAATATTTTCAGAAATGTATGTTTAATGCAACTTCTAGTCTGCCGTTTAAAAGATTGGCATGAATCTGTTTTTTTTTTTATAAAGATGTGGGAGAAAATATAACTAGCAATTGGATGACTTAATACTTTCATTTTCTGTTGGTGCTTGGGAGCTTTCTGTCTGAATATTAGTTAGTCTTTTTACATGAAGTTAGTGTTTGATTTCTGTTGGAAATTCAGCCCAGCATAAGTCCTATGTATCACTTAAGACCTACTTATGGCCGCAGAATAGTGGCTTTTATATTGCAGATGCCTTGTGCAGGCTCTCTGCTCAAGGATGAATTTCACCCCAGAAGCAAATTTCAAAGGTGCAGGCCTGTGTATTCCCAGGAATTGAATTTTACACTGGTATCATACGCATCAGCCACTTCTTGCTGGGTGTTCTGGCATGCTTGTCCGATCAGGGAAAATAACCTGTACTATGTGCCCAATCAGAACTGACCAGCAATGTAGCAAATTCGGTCTGTGAGCCAGCCAAAGTTTAAAAAAAATGTGTTGAATCTTTTTGAGCAACAAATGAATTTGAGGAAATTGTTTACAGTGATTCTGTGAGCTGGAGAAAGGTGGCTAACTTTGTCAAAAACATCATCCTTTCCATAGGATTTGCACTGCGCTTCCTTTTATTTCTGGGTTCCTATGACGGTGGCATCTAGATGCCAAACTATCCTCCATTGTTGTGATGCCAAATCTGAGCAACTAACCTTACTCCAGCCTCTGATGTCACACAGTAATTTTCAAGACAATCCAAGTGTGCATGTGGATTTTAGAACAATTAGAACAAATGTCTGTTAAACAGCAAGCTCATCTCAACCTTAACTATAGGGAGGGCACTGCCCATCTATAATTAACAAAGAATGGGAAACCATTTTGAATAGATTTAAACTTTCATCATACTGGGCATTTCAGAAAACCATAATCATTTTTGTTTTGCAGTATTGCCAAGCCGTCAAAAAAACATGACTCTGTGTCCTCCCCCCCCCAAAAACATCACCAGCGTTTTTTAAAATAATAGTATATTTGGGTCTCTTTTTGCCTTCTCTGTTTGAGCCTTTAGCGGTCACGATTTTTAATCCACAACGTTGAGAGCTAGAAACTTACTTTTTCTTAAATGAAAGCTGGGGTAATGCACATTGTGAGACTTTTGAGAAAAATCCCAAAAGTTGGCTGCACTGGCTATCTAGGGAGCTTTCACTAGCTGCTAAGTGATTAGGGTTTTCAACTACTCGTTTGGACAAAAACAATGTTGTGAGAAAACATTTGGCTGCAAGTGAAGGTGGGAGGGCCTACCCAGTCCAACTGATGTGCTAGCTGAGCCTAAGTATAGCGCTTAAGGGAGTTTGAGCTTCTTACTGCAGTCACAGTTTAGGCCCTGGGGAGGATTGCAGTGACTGGAGGAGGGAAGTCCCCGCACCTGCCTTCCCCCACCATAATTTGTCCCCTTCTCACTGTCGGGCCCTTTAGTCTACCTGCATGTGAATAGATGGTTGAAGTCATGCTATGCAGGAATTCTTGGCCACCAGCGCTGCCCTCTGCTGGTGGGCACCAGCTGATGCACTGGTCCTGCCCGGTTAGCTCTACCATGGTTTATACACCACTGTATGATTTACTCCCATATGCATGAACCTCCTGAATGCTCTAAAATGACTGAGTAATCAAGCTTCACTTGGACACGGGGGAAGATGCTGCAGTTAAGCCTCTTTGTCACCATTGCCTTTATCTATGGGCTGGGGGAAATTGGCTGCAGTCTCTCTCTGTTTCCAGTGCATTGTTGCCTGATCACGAGCTCCGACAATCATGGATTCAGAGGCCTCTCTGCCAGTCCTGTCCTACCCTCTCTGTCTGATCCATATGCAGCCAGTGGGGACCCACTGTTCTGTATGCAAAGAGGGGCTTTGCTAATGTCATGGAGCAGGGCTGAAGTGGTGGGTGGGCCTTGCACTGGAATCAACCGCTGTGAGAGGGTTGATATACATCACACTTGTATGGGCATGTCTGATAATTAGACCAAGGAACCTCAGTTGCCCGCTTGTTGAAAGCTTCATTTACACACATGGCTAAATGCCTTTGTTTTCACTCAAGACAAAATAGATTCTAGAGAGTGGACATAGACATCAGCTAAGCAGCATCAGAAGAGCCATGATTGGCATAAAGAAACATCATTCCTATCACATTAGCATAATGATACGTTGTTCCTTAATTGCCTAAAATAAAATTTATTGTAAAGCACAAAATTTTCCTTATAAAAGTGACTAAATGTACCACCTAAACCTCCCAGACCTAGAGAAGGTGTCACAAATCCATTAACATTTACTTGTTTATTTTTTCTCTAAATTATTTCCAACGCTCATTTAAGTTGAAACACCTACCAAAGTCCTACTTTTAATGTAATATTTTATACAATGCTTGTGTGTGTTGTTCTGTAGCTACTCATTATCTCAATGTTTGGTTGAAAAGTTTTTCTGACTTAATTGTTTTATACTGTGGCAGATCTGGACTGATTTACTTTTCAATAAAATATTTAAAGTTGCTCGTTCGTTGTTACATAATTCATCAACGCCATCAGCCACAGAGCAGATGAGGTGCCCATTAAAGAAGACCATCAATGGATGGAATTGTATTTTTGTTATTTCTGTTGATTGACCCTTTCGGGCCGTGTCTGTGCCTTAAAGATTTTACTGCTTGCCGCTCAACTCCAGGACATAGACTGCTGGTTTTTTTTGGCTTTCAGCACTCTTTCGCATTAGCTTTTCCTTTCTTTTTCTGCTACAAAGCTGCCTGCAGTGCTCAACATGTAACGGCTTGTGCCAATATAGAAGCCATCGTAAAATGTCAAATTCTTGCCTCAGCAACATGCCCACTGAGCTGCTGCCCTGTTACAAAGTGGCAATATGATGTGATTTTATTCACCTTCCCTCAATGCAACATCGTATTTTCAGCTGTTCTCTCCTGGGTCAGGACAGTCAAATGCAGGGGCAGTTTATTTGAAAACATAATCTTAGCAACACTCTCTGCCAGCTTGAAGCTTGGTGCTAAATTAGGGCATACATTGGCAAAACAGTCGATGACTTCTATGGTAACATGCGGTGCTGCGCAACCCCTGTGTCATAAGTGCTTCTGTGATGTGCAATGGACTGAAAACTGGTCTGCCTATGCATGATGCTAGAATTGTCTAGTTCGTTTGAAAGCTGCATAAAATAGGTGAGCAGCAGCACTCTTTGGTCAGGCTGCAGATGCTAGTTCAAGTGCTGATGTACAGCGGTGCCGAGAGCCTTGTACCTGTCCCTCACCACTACTTTCTGTGGTTTCTAGCAATACACCCACCAGCTCATCCCAGCGCTTTGATGTCTCACTGACCGTTCCTGCCTCAGGCCTAGCTCGCTAAACATCGTCTTTTGTTGCATCTCTCCTCAACTATTAATCATGCCAACTGGCCTGTTGCCTTCAACACGCTCCTGCCTTAGTCAGGTTATGCCCCCTCCCTGCAGGCACGTTCAGTGGAGGCATTCCTAGCAGCACCTACTTCGTGCCGTGTGGTGTGTCGAGCCAGCTAGGGCTCCAGTCACTAAAGGATTTAGGTGCCTAACTGCAGGCATGTAAAGCCAAGAACCAGCTCCCTTCACTCCCACTGGGTGTCACACAAACCTCACCGAGCTGACCCCTCCCCCCTGCGCCCTGCAGGTGCCTGTCAGTGATTTGGGGCGGGGGGAGAGGGCGTTCTCGCTAGCGCCTCTTGTTGAACTGATCCCTCTGTGACTAAACAATTAAAAGTAATTAGGCCAGAGAGCGGGCATGTTCATCATGCTCTAACCGAGTGGTTCTAGCATTCACCCAGGCACACGCCTGCCCCCAACCCCAATGTAGCAAAGTGGGCTTGAGGGCGCACCCACATCAGGGTAGCCTATAGCTCAGGGCCTAGGGCACATCCCGCTGTGATGGACGATCACTTCCCCCCCCTCCGTAGCCCTGGGTGCCCAGGTGAGGCCCTCTAACCACAATTATGAGGGAGTATCTCCCACCTCCCCAATCATGGGCTCTTGGTAAAAGAGGATTGCCCCCCCCCAACTCCAAGAGGGGAGTTGCCGCTGAGACTGCCAAGTGGTGAGCAGGCTGGGGCTTGGCATCTTCCATTAGGCCAGATGCGAGCTGTGCTGGCTTTGTGAAACCCATTCTGAGGAGTCTGTCATTCCCTGTGTAGCGAGGGGCGGCAGAGAGGATGCGTAACAGTTAA